AATGTATATGACGGATCAACAACAGGTGCAATGGCAAACATTTTCATCCAATCAAATACATTGCGCTTTGATGAATTGTGCCGGACCAAAGCCGAAGTCGCTAGGGCAAACAAAGTTCTAGCATTACTAGGGAGATTTTCGATCTTAATTTTCTGTATCGCTTGCAATAACTCAATCGAAGGAAAACTATCGGGTAACAGTATGTGTTGATTATTATTTTTTTTTTTGAGTGTCAATATAATATGCCAATAAAAAGCATAAGAAGATCCGTTGATCCTCGCGAGAACTTAATACAAGCTTGTGAATTGTGTCCATATCAATTGCACCCGCAGTCTGACTCGGCAGACATTTTGATAAATCTTGAAATTCCATAATTTTTTCTCTAAGATTTTTCAAAGTTACTGATTCGTATATCGCGACAGCAAATTTGCAGTCTGCTTCAATATCTGGTCTGTAAAGCTCCTTGGAATGGTTGTCCTCCCATACATCATATTGAAACCCTTTATATTTCAGTACTCGGCCGACATATTCCGTATTACCTTCTGTTACAATTTGTTCTTTTGGTTGATAGAGCGCATATTTGTAATAAATCTTCTGATCTCTAATCTGAATTTTAACCGGATCAGAAAACCAATATGTAGTGTCCTTTTGATGCAACCTTACTACTGGGGTGTTCCAACTTCCCAATTCTTTAACACTTCCTATAACGAACGGTTGCCGGGACTTGTCAAACTCATTCGGCATGTGGACGTGAAATTTTATTTCACATATTCCATTAGTACCTAACGCTTGTAGTTCATCTCTGTCACCTTCATCTTCAGGCACTTCAGAACTATTATTTCGGGTCCACCAACTCCTCATCCTTACGAGATGAGGCTTTTATTCACTATAAAGTTAATAATCAAATGTATCTTATTTTTTTTATTTTTCGTTAATGTGCAACAAATCAATATGTTTTGAACGGAATCGTAACATCTCTATAAATGACCTTATTTTGATCATTGATACGTTTCCCAAAAATATATGTTAATTAGTCAATTTCTAGAAGCTTGTGTAGCCAGACCGGTTTGATTAATACTGTACTGTATATAATTAATATGTATACAGCATAATTGATTAGTATTATATCAGTTAACGTTTATGATTGTAGTTATCCTGACTTTAAATTTGTATATACTGTATATTCTCCTTTTTGCCTTTACTCGAATTTTAATAACTTAGCTAGCTAATACAACTACTAATATACTTTTGATCGAAAGTAATATTTTTTAATTATTTAATTTTTAAAGTTCAAATATTTAATTTTTATTTGTAAATTCAAGATTTGGATAACAATTAAAGAGCATATTATTTTCTTTTAAAAATAATAAATCATGAAGTGTTTCTGCAGCTAATCGATTTCTCTTTTTGTTAAAATATTACCAGGATTAGAAAAAAATCGTTCAGATGGAACAGAAGTTGCTGGAATAGAAAGATATTTTCGAGCTAATTGGGATAATAATGGTAAGGTTGATTTTTTTTTCTTTTTTCCAATATAAAGAATTTTTTGTTCATATAAAGAAGTTTCTAAAGAAACTATTAAAAGTTGTTTCAGAGATTAATAAATGTAATATCATTATCAGATTTTTTTAAAAAAAAAGGAATGTTATTATTATTGTAAAGAATAGAAATTTCATCTTTTTTGAAAAATAAATTACTTTCTTTTTTAATAAAAGCTATAATTTCATATCTAATTTTTTGATGTTTATCTAATTCGAAAAATGCGCAATAAAACTAATAATTTCTCTGGATTTGAATTCACTCCAATATTGTTTCAATGATTTGAAGAAGTTTTAATAAAGTATAAAAAATTGTAATAAAATAAGTTTAGGTAAAGGTGTTCTTAAATGTATGTTTAATGGAATTATAAAAGATAACATTAAAAAAAGTTGGATATTTACTATCCAAACTAATTTATGTTATAACTGCAGAGAACTTAAGTAAAAATAATATTTTTTCAAGTACCTTTCATTCTTATAAAAATAAATTTAAACTGTTTAAAAGATCCTTATCTTTTTTACTTTTTTAGAATTAGCTTGTAATAGCATAATAAAAATTGAAATAAATTCACAAAGTTGTACTAAGCAATGTAATAATATATTTTTTAAGTTCTATTGAGTTATAAAATCTGTAGCAATTAAATTGAACAATATCAAAGTATTTTTATTAACATTTGTTAAAATTTTATTTGATTTTGTTAATTTTTTTTTGTTTTAATTTAATTTTTTTTTGTTTTTATTAACTAAAAATTCATTAAATAATTTTTTTATGATCTTTTATTATGGATAAGATTAACTCTTCTGTGAAATTAAAAAATGTGATTATGAAGAGTAGTAAATTTTTCTTTCAGTTAAGTATTAACATTTCATTAACAGAATGAAGTCTCAAGCAAAAAAAATCTCATTATTTTCAGAATTTCAAAAAACAAAAATATTTTGAATATTTTGAATAATAGAAGAACAGATAATATTTTGAGTATTAAAAAATAAATAAAAGAAATATTGAGAATTTAACAAATAGAAGAAAAAGAATTGCAAGAAACATTCTATAAATTGTCATGAATTATTAAGAATATTTTGAGTATTATTATAATTAACTAAATTATTAATATTAGACTTTATTCTTTGCATATATAAAAGATATAAATAAAAAAAAATTTTTTTTAAAAAATCTTTTTCAAGAAATATAAACATATATGTTAAGAAAAACTCAGTAATTAAAAAATATAAAAAAAAATCCAATAGAAACAAAAAACAATAAGATTGAATATTTATATAAAAGAAAAACAAATAACAAAAAAAATAATACTTTTGTAATAAATTCTGTCTATGTTATTGTTATTTATACTTGAATTATTATTAAATACTTGTTAAATATCTTTTTATAGTTTATTTATTAATTAGTAACAGTAAAATATTTGATTCTTATATATGATTATATAGCAAAATTAGATTTTACTTATGAACAATATTTATAACCAAGGAATATTATATAATTGAAGTAATAACAATAGTATTAAAAAAAATTGATTTAATATACTTTATAAATTAAGGAAAAGAACACTGCTTTTACAATATTCAAACACTTATACAATCAATATATTTAAATAAAGATTTGTATAGTCTTTTATATATTATAAATATTTTTACAATTGTGGATATTATAGTCTTTATAAAAATTACTTAAAAAAAATTATACAAACTTTATCTTTACTTTAAGTCATATTTAATATAAGATTTTAAAAAAATAATTAAATATTTGTCTTTTTAAATTTAATAATAAAAAGATAAACAAATAAGATCTTTTTATAATTTAATTGCAATGGCAAGTTATTCTACTTTGCATATATATACAATTATTGATACACAGTAAGTCTGTCACTAATCCAAACTAGGTTATCGCATAATAATAAATAAATAAGATTCATGTTACTTGCATACCAAAGGCATTTGTTAATAAACTCTCTTCTTTTTATTACCAGTCTAATCCTTTACTACAATCCTTTATGGGCTTCTAGAATTTCTACAGTGGCTAATAACCAATTAAGGTAAGTTTATTAATTATATTGGTGTAATTACAAGTAATACAAGTTTATATAATATTGAAGCTAACTCTTTATTTTAACTAGCTAAATTCTCTCATATTTATATTCGCTGCGACATGTATACTAATCTATTGTCATGTTTTACAAATCCTATTTAAACTATTTAAGCTTCTTGATAAAGAATATGATAGATCACACCATGTCATGTAACAAATGGCAATCCCAGCAATTCATATATTTTTTCTTGCTAACAATATATATCTTTATAAAAGAAATAGTTAAATATTCTGTCTTTGTATTCAAATTTATATACAGTTACAACTATTTCTAAATAAATTAGCAAATTAAATACTAATCAATTTGTATAGTTTATAAACACCTTTGTTAATAAAATAAAAAAAAATACAGAACAAAAGCAAGGCAATTGCTAATAACTTTAACTTTGCCAATGTAGCTTCACTAAAAATTGTACTTAGAATTTCTACTTTTAAAAGGAAATCAGATATTAGCATTGTTGACAGTAGATAAGCAGGATTGGTGTTAATTATGTAATATATCGTGATGTATCAGATTGTGCATCATGAAGCTAAAATAGTTTGTGGAAGTTTGCATACTACAACAGTAGATTGTGAACATATCGCAAGTATTATAAATAGAAATAGAGTAGTTGTTAGTAAGTTAGAGAGAATAATCTTGTAATAAACCTGTATTTGCAACATAATAATAATAAACTTATCTTAATAAAATACTTGTTATCTAAAGAATCCACTGAAAGTCAAAAGAGAACCTATTGGTAAATGGTTTGAGTCACAAGAACAAGAGAGAAAAAAAAAAGTTAGAGAATTGTCATGCTCACAAGTACCTTTGATATTATAAGCAAAACAACTCCAAATGATAGTCAATAGCAAGCCTAGTTCTGAAGCAGTGACAGACTTGCTGGTATTGATAATAGCATAAAAATTATAGTAAGGTGCATGATATAACATATAGGGCCAAGTGCAGTGTCATATGAAACATCAATCATATATCAATTATGTATAATTAATAGGTGCAAAGCTTGTCAAAGTTTAGCAATTATATATAATGTGATAATAGATTTAGAGAAGCATTGCAGTCATATAAATAGCAATAAGAATCAAATATAAAACTGAGACAAAATCAATTAATAAAATATTATTTACTAAAAAGCCAAGTGTTTGTTTATTTATTTTTTGCCTCTAATCAGATTGCAATTGCTATGTTTATTAATTTTTATACAAATAAACAATAATACATTGAACTCTAAAGTTTTATACTAAAGCTAAACTGTATCTATTGCAGAATACCCATTAACAAGTTATTTTTAGATTTGTATATAATCCTTAAATCCTTAATATCAAGACTATAGTGTCATCCACATAATTTAGTTATTTACTAACTATTTCATTACAAGAAAGTTGGTTTATTAAGCTATTACTGTGTAATATTAACTATTTTAGACTTTCCAAATCTTAACTCTTTAAGTGTGATCATGGAGAATAATAAAATCACTTCTTTTTTAAGATTGCTTCTTGGCCTTAAAAAAAATTATAGCTAGCCTATATTCAGGCTGTCACCCTTATATGAACCTGTGATCCTAAGAGGTAAAAAAATTTTATTTTTTAAAAAAAAAGGGGAGGAAGTAAAAAGAATAAACAAAGAGTTTGTTCTGATAAATAAAAACTCTCCAATATCAACTTTAATCCATTGGAATAAATCCTTTACTATCATCTGCAGCCAGGCAAACCATTTGATTTTTACTATTCAATTGCTAATCAAGAATATTCAAGATACTTAATACAAAACTGACATACTGCTTGAAACAAGACTTACATTTATTGGGAATTATTGCTTGAGACAAGTCTTATACTAATACTTGCTACTTTTTTGGAATAATTAACAACAGAAGAGACTTCTTACTAGATTGGAATAAGACTTCTTTTGATCTTGAAGAAAAAAAAAACCAGTTCAAGAAGTAAGTATGAACATTATAACACTTCTTAACAATAAGAGCACCTCATTATCTTGCTCTTTTCACTATATCCAATTGTATTATCGAGTTTTGTATTGTGCGAGATAGTACATATGAGAATTACATGTCTTGTTACATGTAGATCAACCAGTTCAAAATTTGAGTCGATTATCATTCAAGAATTCTGATGTAATCAAAAATTCAGAGTCAAACTGAGGTAGGCAAAATTTTTCAAAAAAAACCAGAAAAAAGTTTATATACTTGAAAGAATAGGAGAGTAGCTGTAGA